AGAAAACCCTCAGAACATCCCTTTCGTTACAAAGATGAATCAAATGGCTTAAAGAATATCCAGTAATAGTAAAAAGGAAGGTAGAAAGTGGGTCACCTTGTCTTAACCCCCTCTTGGCAATGATCTTGCAACGAGGTTTACCGTTAATTAACACTGAAAAGTTGGTTGAAGAAACACAACCGCAAATCCACTTCGTCCATCTAGACCCAAAGCCTTTAAGCTCAAGATAAGCATCTAGGAACGACCAATCTACCTTATCATAAGCTTTCTCGAAGTCTAATTTCAGCAACATCCCCTTCTAATTAGCCTTTTTCCAAGCTCTAGCAGGTTCAGAGAAAATGCAGAACTTACAAAAGTTGAAACATTCAGAAAAAAATGCCAGAGTTCATAATCGAGGCTACATTTGCTTCTTCCCTAAAAGCTTCAACAAGTAAGCATACTACATAATATTGAGTGGGTACATGATTTAACATCATGGGTAAACATCAAAGCCTTATCACCAGCCAAGTTTGTTCCATCCTTCTATAACTTGCAGCCAAGAGAATCAATAACTCATTCCAATTTCTCAATTTGTCATGTCCACTCTTTAATATTAAAAGGAAACCAAAAAAAAAAAGAACCCTTGCATTTTCCTAATTATGGCAAAAAAAAATTGGAATCGTATCTAACAAAGTTATCTCAATAGCAACAACAGAGGCAAGCCAATATATAGACCCACTTCCAATCCAGAGAAATATCCAAACATAGCAAGTTTTTTGAACAAGATACAAACTTCTCATTGAAATAATGAAAAGGAACAAAATTGTTCAAAGATACAAACCCTCGAAAGGGTGAAAATACAAATAAAAGCTACTAAAAAGAACTCAGAATGTTGCAACAAAAACATTCCAATTTGAATAAATCAAACTAGGAGAATAATGTTTAAATCCAAACATAATAAGTTTTGATAACATAATTCCATAAAACTAAAAATACTAATAGATTTTCATCATCTAGGAAAAGGACACTCACATCAACTACTTGGAAATGTCGGGATATCTTTGATCGAGATACATCTAGCCCAGAAGTAGAACCATTATCACCATTACCAAAATGGGAGATCTGCAGACAGAAATAGCAAGAATTGTTTCTATAAATTTGTTGGTTATTAGTATCTTCCTAGAACACTTATAAACAATTGGAACCATTATTACTGTTCAATCCATTTACAATAGCTAAAATTAACAGTAAAACTAATGGTGACCCTGCAAGGCTTGAAAAAGAGTCTCATCTAAACACAACAACCTACATCAACTTTATACTAACTATTCTCCAAATCAAGGAGACGAAAGCTCATGGATTTTTATTATTAACTTCCCAGACAAAAAGTGGGGCATTTATAAACAATTGAAACCTGTATTACCAGTATACCCAGTAAAACTAATTAAACCGAACAGTAAAATCAATGGCAAGCCCTCTAGAAAATATGTGGTAGATATGACAAGCCCTCTAGAAAATAATAATGGCAAGCCCACACTGCCTAAGTAATAGAGCTATTTAATTACAGCATCTTACATCATTACTCCACTAATACCAACAACTAGAGTACAGATTTCTACTTCACAGCGGATCAGCTTTAAAATGTTTTATTTACAGGAAACAAGATATTTCATAGATAGTATGAACTATACAAAAGGGAGGGGAAAAGGAACCCCAACTAACTGGGAGTTGCAAAAAAAGATCTCCAGTTTATTAAAAGGTTGTTAATGGAGATCATGCTTCACTAACCTTGGGTTTTTTATTTGTAGAGATGTAGAAAAATAAATGAAAATAAGCCACCAAGGTGGAATTTGACGCCTGTCCATTGTGCCAAAAGCTAACACTAATGCCTTTGCCAATTTGCAAACTGCCTTGCTTCTCATAAGGTCAGTGAAGTTTTAAATTGCTATACAAGGACCTTTAATTCCGTGGAGATTGTTTTTAGGCTACGAGTCATGTTTGATTCCCCAATTTTGCAATTATGAAATTTTTCCATAGAGAGCCTCCAAATCCATTTTGAGAGGAGGGCCTGATTTTTCTTTCTAACACACAATGTTGAGGCCTCCATTGCCCCAAGGGGTGGCCCTAGTGGCAGTAGCTAAGGGTCTCGTTATACGACTTAGAGGTCTAAAGTTCAAACCTTCAGATGAGCTTAATATAAAAATCTTGGAGCGATTTCGGGTCCCCGACTATAGGGGAAAAAAGCTCCACTTTAGATTATAAAAAAAATTTTGAGGCCTCCATTGAGCAACTGTGGGTAGCTGGACCTTTTTCCAATTGATCAGATGCAAAGAGCCTATCTTTTTCGAACCTTCCTAGAGAGAGTCTGATAATTGTTTCAGAATATTGGCAGCCCCAGTAGGGATGAGGATGAGGGACGTGTAGAAAATAGGTAAATTTGATAAGACAGCTTCTATGATGGTTAGCCTGCTCCCTTTGGATAAGAAATCGTGGTTCCACATTTGAAGCTTGTAACCAGTCTTTTCAATTATAGGGAGCCAAAAGCATTGAGGATTTGTCACCCATTTCAACCTATCTGGTAGACCCTCGACAAGATCTTATATGCACAAGGAATTAAGCTAGCTGGACAGTAATCATACAGTTTTTGTGTCTATTTTCTTTTGGGTCAAACATATGTAAGTTTCACTTTGGAAATCATTTATGTCAACATCTCTGTGATGTCGGCTAAGATTATGTTACATAATGTTCAAAAAAGGTCCACTATGAAGTCATCTGGTCCCAGTGACTCTTTTGGTCCCTAAATTCAAAAATGTTTCTGTCCTCCACTTGTTTAGGAGATGGGGGCTAGCTCCTCTGTATTGTCGATGGCCTTTAGCTTCGCCTAAATGGTAGATTTGTGATCCTGGACAAATCCAAAATGCTCTTTATTCCAGTTTTTCAAGGCTGCCCTGAGACCCCTAAGTTTCATCATGAGGTCATGCTCTGGCCATCCTTGAAGCGGCTTATTCTGCCAATAGTTCTCTAGAAAAGGTTTAAAATATTTCTGATGGAGCTACACATTCTCAAATCTGAAAGGTGTTGGGGCCCCATTTGATGTCCCTATATACGAAAGAATGGGAAAATGATGTAAAGTGATACTTCCTAAACGTTTTAAGACATGAAAGCCAACAACTGGAGCCATCTATTGGTGAAGAAGAATCTGTCCAACCATGAGAGAAAGCATGTGATCTCATGCTTGATCAATTGTACCTGCCATTACTCTAGGGGATGTCTATGACTGCTAACTCTACAAGGGAATTGAAGAACCGCATACTTTATGTAAAAGGTCTGCCAAGAGATTTCTCCCAAGACCAATACGAAATGTTGAAATCTCCTCCGAGGATCCATGAGTCATCACATAGATGGCGAAGATCCCTGACTTCCTGCCAGACAAAAGGTCCAATGGCAGCCCTAGATAGATGCCAGAGATTCAAAAGGAAAAATGCCAACAAGAATAAAGTTAGGACAGAGTAAGATCCTTCAATTAGCTCTTTAACAGTGAAAAATGGATCGTGATTAAAATACCTCATGTTGAGCGGACAACATTGAGAGCTGCCCAACTCATCCAATGAAGCCCCATAATGATTTGACCATCAACCTATCCACACTGCTAAGCTTTGCTCTTGCAGGATCATAATGTTTGGATTGACCAAGAGATAAGTGGCTTAATTAAGGCTATTTTTTTTACTAGAGCCATGGAGTTGTTGCTCTTTTCATAGTTTATAGAAAAGGAGAGATTTTTCAGATACCCGACACCTTTTCTTGAGTTGGCTGGTGTTTTTTTCTCCTTATTGGATTTGGGGATAGTGATGATGCAAAGTTCCATTTCCTACATATAAGCGGTCAAAATATGTCTTATTGAAATTGGTGTTTTTTTTTCTGAACCAGAAACAACTTATTGAAATTGGTGTTAAGGAGGTGAGAATCTAGTCCTCCGTCAGAGTGCTGATATTTGGTGAGTGGTGGTAGAGTGGAGGGGCTATTGTGATAGATGACTAATGGGGACAATGGAAAATTTTTCATTGGGTATTTGGTGAGTGGTGGTAGAGTGGAGGGGCTATTATGATAGATGACTAATGGGGACAATGGAAAATTTTTCATTAGTTACCCTTCCCGCATGAGATTGGGCTTCAAGCATGGGCTACTTGAGAGGGAAGGCATGTTCTAGCACACAGCCATCAAAGATATTTTGAGGTGGTTCATGGTTGATCGTCAAACAAAAGGTTCAAAGGGCGGCCTTTCAGATCTATGGGGAGATGGAGGAGTAAGTTAGGCCCAATACTGTATTTCAATGTAGATGAAGGGAATTGTTACGTACCAGTTTTTAGCCAGGATTCTAGCCTTGTGTATTTTGTTGTATCTTCTAGTTATGACTAGGAAAGAAAYTGGTGACCCCTTATATTTATAGTGGATGTTTTTCAGAACCCTCCCGTGGTTTTTCCCCGTACACTGAGGGGTTTTCCATGTAAATCTTGGTTCTCTATTTTCTCTCTTGTGTGCTAATGATTTGTGATTTTATTATTATTAAAAATCCCAACACTTATAAACAAGATAGAGCAATAGGATCTTACCATAACATTTAGATCTAGTACATGAATGACAACAAATCAAGAATGATCGCGTGCAGACGTGCATAACAGAATTGATACCTTACCCCAGACAAACATTTACTATCTTGACCATCTTCGAATAGGGATGAGTAATAAGCTGGATCATAGATAGAGCCCCCTATCATATCATCAGAACCTGAGGTTTGTCTAGCTACAACAGGAGTAGTAGGGCTAAGAAAACTATTTCTTAAATCATAATCTGCCTCTCGAGGAACTGAAGTTTCCATGTATGAAATTCCCAATCTGTAGATTTGAATCCACAGTAGTGAAGACGATAACCTAATAGAAAATCCAATAATCTGCATAGCCAAAGTAAGCTTCACTGAAAAGCTAAAAAGGGGTCCATATTGCTTTGACGAGATGTTCCTGCATACAAGCAATCTTTCATTCAGTATACAGGGTACAAAAGCAACTAACACCATGTATCAAAGTATAAGCATGTTATGCACTCACACATTTAATGAATATTAAAAAAGAAAAGGCAGGCAAAAAAAAAATTGGGCTTCAGAAAAATGCAGTGCTCAAATCTAAGAAGCATGAACACTTCATTTTATGTAATGTGTCCGTGTCGGACACTCCAACACTTATTGAACACGTATCGGACACTGGTTAGCTTAATAGATGTGTGTCGTACACTAGAGACACTGGTTAGCTTAATAGATGTGTGTCGTACACTAGAGTTGTACAAACTGAAAATGGATTCAACACTTATTAGGCATGCATCAAACACTTGTTAAACATAAGAAATAGACATAGCTAGTAATATATGACAAAATAATGAATTTTGAGAGTAAAATACATCAAACTCATTTTTTGAAACATAAAAATTTGCATAAGCTTATTGACTTTGAAGTTTCTTGCGGTATATAAATATAGATACCTAAAAAACTGTATATTTTAATAAATGTGCCATTGCCGTGTCCATGTCCATTTTTTTTTTAGATAAGAAACTTCCCACACGGTGTCCATGTCTCGTGTCCATATCCATGATTCTTAGGCTCAAATAGAGTTTTACAGAAAATTATCCTAGGTTGGATGATAGGTGAGCAGTAACAGATGGTAATATGCATAGGTTTGGTTGCAATTATACAAGATCAAAGATTCCTTCCAAATTTTTTATTAATTATCTAACCATAAGCATATAAGTCAGAAATTAGAATATCAACTTCGTGTGTGAAGTTTCATCATTGATTCATTAACTGAATTAGCTTAGTCTATCTGATCTATGGAAATGCTTCCATGGACCAGTGACAAACATGAATGAACATTTATCATAAATTATCCAAGTAATTAAAGAATAGTAGGATTGTATGAGTATGATAAGCAGCCTCCACACTGGAAATGTATTCTTGCAGAGAGAAAATAAATAAAATAATTCCTAAAGAGATCAAGGGCGAACAGGGAACGTACTGGCTATCATTTCAAGCATATCATATCAATATGTATTGTATAATTATAATATAACACGTACTTGTACAGTTGTACTGAATGCATTCTTTCTACTTTTACTCTATGAACAAGGATAAGATATCGCTATGTAATCGGCAGTCCGCCAACCCATGCTCAGAAATAAACTAAACATACTAAGACTGACAATACAAGAGAGAGGAAGAGACCATGTGTCGTAGGCAAAAAGAATGAACCAGAAGATATCGAGGAAAATGGCAGACAACAAGAGAACTGCATATGTACGGCCAAGACTCTGACTGCTACTCTCAATGGCGACCAGAGCGAATAATGCGATCGCCAAATTTATAAGCAATACACCGTTGTACAATGCCCCTAGCGATCCAATCAATGCGCACCCGATCTTTCTCATATGTGTGTATAAAAATTAGATTAAGAATGACAAAACGATAATAACAAATAATAAAAATTACAGAGAGAACAAAAAGATGAAAGAGGATGGAGGAGATGGGAGAAAGAATGCACCTGGATATAAATGAGAATGACTGCAAAAGACTGAAGCCTATCATAATCACGAAGCCAGGGCCGAAGTCGATCTCTCAATGAATTGCAAAGCATCATATACCATTTGAAAAACTCCACCTACCCACCAACGAACTGTCCCACCATGTAACCACCCCAGCCACTGCACTCTCCAGTCTTTTTGGGGTGTCTTTCCCTAAACTGTCATTAGATGGTAGCATAAGCACTCGCGAGCAACAGAGAGGACAACCGAGTACGATGCAGCAATGACAGAATAATTCCGATAAAAAATAAGTTATGAAGAGGGATAAATTTTGAAAGGGTGCTGCCTTGGTGTGGATGGTATTTCGAAAATGAAAGTAGTTCTTAAAATTAATAAAACTATCTTGTTTGTTTAAAATAGTTTCTGCAATTAGCTCCAACAAGTGTTAAGGCATCTTTTTTACTATTCTCCACATTTTCTTTTTCCTTTTTTTTAATATTGGTGTCTAAGCTAGCTTGACACATATTGATCACTAGGTCAACCCAATTAATCTCTACAAAGGTTTTATATTTGAATTCCACCCATATTTGTGATTTGGTATATTTCAAAATAAAAAATCCTCCAATTAATTTATTAGCCACTTTCAATAAACCACATGCTTTGAACAAGGCAAATTCAACCTTATGATTTGAACAAACGGCATATAGGTAGACAAATCCATTCAAATGGAACCCACCTTCTGCGGATTGGATCAAACTCAATACCAATGCCGCTTGTAATGGGAGGCTGTCACCCACAGGTACTGGAGTAACTCTTTTTATGAAGATATGGGTGAAATCAATATAGTGTATTGTGATATCAAAGAGATTTGATATTCCGTATGTCCCTTTAAACATTGAACTCCTCGCAATTCTTGAAGGTCCTAGACCTGCAAAAATAATGGGTCTGCCCAATTTTTTTTTCTTCTTTTTTAATTTTGATGGTGGCAAGTCAATACTTGTCAAATCATAGAAATGGTATTTTTATTTGAAAAATTACAAAAGGCGACAAAATTGGTTGTCATATTTACAAATTTGTACAACAAAATAAATGGCAAATATGACTTTAAAAAGGGTGTCCCTATTTATAAATTGTTATGTAATTTTATTCTTACTCAAATAACCATAGAGAGGTCTGTGATTGCATAATAGCAATAAATATGCAAAGGATCACCGATAACAAAATGAAAGTAAGTTAAATACCATGGATATATCATTTTTATTATACTGATAGAGTATATCGATAACATACCTAATAGCAAATGAACAATAATTGATTGAGAAAAATGTCAAAATCATTGATATACTATTTTTTTATTCCACTTATATAGTTTATTAGTGATTAACCTAATAGCAAATGAGCATGCAAACAATGCTAACATAAAATGAAGTAAAATATCACTGATATGCCATTTTGTATCACGTTGATATGATATATCGATGATATACCTACTAGCAAATAAGATGCAAACAAATACAAACTAAGAAGCACGAATACGGACACGAGAGACATATACGATGACATGTTATTTTCTAAAATTACAGGACACAGGCACAACAAGGACACGTTAATTAAAATATACAATTTTTTTAGATATATATTTGTTTTATACCACAAGGAAATTTATAGTTGATAAGCTTATGCAATTTTATGTTAAAAAAAATAAGTTTGATATATTTTACCCTCAAAATTTATTATTCCGTCTTATATTACTATTTATGTCTATTTCTTATGCTTAACAAGTGTTTATGTGTCTAACAAGTAACGAGTGTCAGATCTATTATCACTTTTCACAACTAGTGTGTGACACATATCTATTAAGCTAACAAGTGTCTGATAAGTGTCCGAGTATCGGAGTATCCGACACGGATACGTTACCCAAAATGAAGTGTCTGTGCTTCTTAGAATATAGATGAGAAACAAAAGTCAAATGCCATTTATATACCATGTTTATTTTATTGATAAATTATATCAGTAACAAACCTAATAGTAAATGACCGTACAAACAATCAATGATAAAAAAACAAAAGTTAAATACTATTGTTATACCATTCTTATTATACTGATGATGTATATGAGTAATAGACCTGCCCCCAGCCCGATTGGTAAAGACTTAGGGTCTCTTGGTCAAGGTCTCAAGTTCGAACTTTTCGATGAGCCGTGAGCTTAATACCAAGAACCGATGCCTCCCAGATCCGAGCCATGGGTGGGCGCAAGTGCCTCTAGATATAGGATAGCAAAACTCCAATTCCCAATTATCCAAAAAAAAAAAAAAGTAATAGACCCAATAGCATATGAGCTTGCAAATAATCATGATAAATGTACGTTGCTTCTATCAAATCGACGTCCATCAGTAATAGACATCTATCACTTATTGTTCAATGTTGAGATATGCTAATGGGTCTTTTCAAGTTTTCATGCATTTTTATTCGTTTGAGCTCAAAATTATGCCATATTTACAAATATTTTTAACTTGTTAGATTTTATATTTATATTGTTTTGAGTAAGATTGCCATGAATGCAATTGCCTCTTTTGATTTTAGGGGGCAAACATGACATTTTTTCTCAACGTTGTGCGAAAGTAAAATATTTTCCATGGGTCCTTTATTACCATTAGACAAATATTTTCCATGCTTGACTATTTCCATTTGGTTCTTCGTGTAGATGTACAAACTAAAAATGGCAGAGACCCATAAAATAGATTGGAATTGAGTTGTTTTTCTTTTTATAGTCCCTTACTCACCCTTGCTTTTATTTCTTTTATAAGTAATGAAGTTTTTGTAAATGAAAGCTAATCAAATATCCTACCTATTATTCATCTAAGAATCCCAAATATTTAGATTTTGGCATTTCTTTTGCCAAAATCGTGACCTATTTATTTTCAATAATATATTTGTTCCGTTAAGAACTCAAGTACTGTTTATCAACAAGTTTAGGTATCATTTTCTACTAGTTCATATCAAAAATATCTAATATCCTAATTTTTTGACATATATTATCAGCTGCTAAGTTTTTTTTTTTAACAAGAAACAAACTTCTCATTGAATTAATGAAACAAATTCTCGAAAGAGTGAAAAGAAAAGAGTTGCTAAGTTTGTGGGAACAAATCAGCAACCATCATTAAGCAATGTAAACTATCTTTTTAGCTGCTCCGAGTTGTTCAGGACCGTTTTGTGTTTACCTTGAATTTCTCTATGAGATTGTACAAAAAAGGTGATAAATCGTACAACGATTCCTATAGACTTTAATGAATCATTTATGGATCCACTCTAAATATTATTCCAGCCATCACAGGAAATTGGATTCATCTAAAAATGATTATGAATTCGAATATAAATTTATAAGATAACAAAAATATAAGCAAGCGGATGCCAGGTCATAATCATTGAACTACAGAAACATTTAAACGATCTCCTAGCCATGAATTATATCGAGAACCAGACCCAGAAACTAAACGAAACCCACATATCTAGAAAGAGTCAATCCGCTAAATCGTCAACTGGAATCCAAAGAAATCAAGTTTCATCACATTGTTATAGGTCACAATTTCCTAGCCAGTAATTATGTCGAACCAGACCAAGAAACTAAGAAAGACCTAGATAATTAGAAAGAGCCACTCCACTAAATCGTCAATTCGACTAAAGAGAAATCAAGTTTCATCACATTGTCACAGGTCAAATTTCTGAAATGAGAAATTACAAATAGCAACCATAAGCTTAATTAGCCATTTCACCTAATTTGGGTAATTTTGGCACAAGCATTCAATCAGTGTAAGAGGATGAGAAGAATGCAAACCTGGTGTAAGGCTGAGACGAAACAACGAATCACAATCGAACCGCGGCGGCGATGGAAGCAATCACAACGTAGGCAGAGGCGAAGAGAGGGGAAAGACTACTTCTCGTTGAATGGAGAGAGAGAGGAAGGGGAACAGAGGAAAAGTCGATTGAGTTGGGCTATAGTAAAAATATTTAGGAAATTTTTCAAAACTAAAAATTTTATTTAATGATTATGAAATATAATATTGTTTTTTAAAATTTTTAATATTTATTTTATACGGAAAATTGCATTGGATAGCTATATCTTTAGCTATATTTACAAAAATATCAAGATTTTTCGTCTTTTACAAATATGACGAAAATTTTAAATTTTTATTTTCGAAATTTTATTATTCCAATTTTACGGCATCTGATATGTCTTTAATGTATTACGCATGAGATTTTATTTTTATGTTTTTTTTGTTCGAAAATGAATGAGATGTTGAATGTTATTACATCAGCTTTTTTTTTCTGGATAATTTTCTCAACATCTTTTGTATTTTATAAATACGACAATAGATTCTAATTTTTATTTTTTGAATTTTATTATAATATCCCATGTGAGGGAGAAAGAAAGTGAAAAGTGAGCACGAACGATAGCTAGTAGGGAATGAGTATTAGTCACTAAGAATAAGTATTAGTGTTAGCAATAGAAGAGAATGAGCGAGCAATAACGATAGTGATAGTAGAAAATGGTGTTAAATATTTTTGAAATCTCCACCTGCTTCCCAAGAAAGATAGAAGATTGGTTGGCTGAAGTTCTCCATGGATGGAATCTACCTAATAAAACTAGATTCATATGGTGTTGCGCCTCAACAGTCCTCGTATGACATCTTTGACTAGAAAGAAACTCTCGTGTTTTTTAAGATAAGTCCACTATTGATAGCTTTTTTTAGGAATGTACAACACATTTGCCTCTTGGTGGTACATCAATTGTGGTAAATTCTTCTGTAACTACAACCTATCCATGTTGATGCACAATTAGATAGATGCTGCTTAGTTTGTTGGTGGGTTTCCTCTTTCATCTTTTTTGATTTATACAAGTTTCTTATCTAAAAAAGATTAGAAAACCAGTGTGAGATGACGTAAGCAAAAGTTGGAATAACAAATTTTTTCAGAAATGAGGCATATCTCATAATGCCTTCAATATCTCATCAATGCCTTCAAATTTAAGTCAATTATTGAAAATACCCCTAAATATTACTACACTAACAATTAACACACACAAAAATCATCATCAAACTTAGACATTCTCCCAACATTTAGCATCCACAAGAACTTGACTTTAAAAAAAATCCCAATACATACATGATGAAATTACAAACTTCAAAACACTATGAACAAACGGTACGATACGATGGGTGATGTCACATGCACATGCTGTACTAAAAAAGCAATACAATGGGACTAAATTATATTATAAGCCATTTTCTAAGAGTACATATTTCACAAGTCCGAAGCATAACAGTTTAAAGGAGATTATTGTGTTGCGCTACGGAACCACAATGATTTTGCCAGTGGCATGGCCGTCCATGCTCTTTGCCCAAGCATCCTCAGCCTTGCTAAGAGGATACCGCGAATCGATCACAGTCTTCAGCTTCCTTTCCTTTATCAAATTAACGAGATAGCTCAGTTTTTCACTCTTGGCAGACATCAACAGTGGCACCAGCTGCTTCTTAGAGAAGGTAAGTTTTCTAAATACAAAAGTCAGCATCGTTGTCGGGTTTGGTGTAATGTCTATCACCTTACCATTCGCGCTCAAATTGGGTTCGAATACAGACCATGGGATCCCTGTTGCACAGTGAACCACTGCGTCGTACTTCTTACCAGATGGGCTCTTCAGGGCTGCCCCTTCTGGGGTTTTGTAGTCGATAACCTCATCCGCTCCCAAGCTCTTCACAAACTCGATGTTACGGGCACCGCAAGTAGCCGTCACGTGTGTGTTTCCCAACTTTGCTAGCTGAACAGCGTAATGTCCAACACCACCAGAGGCAGCCGTGACCAGAATGTTTGCTTGAGGACCACTTCCATCAAGCTTGATCCTGGCAACTTGAGTGAGAGCCTGGTGAGCTGTCATAGCTGCCACAGGTAGGGCAGCACTATCCGCCGCAGTCACTTCGGGGGGCCTATAAACTGTTAACGCCTCCTTAGCTACAGCGTATTCAGCGAGTCCACCTCCAGTCTGTCATTGTAATATAAAAATTTCTGTAAGATGACCACTTCCAGTAAAATGAATCAACTAAATATCATCAAATCCTAGAATCGGTAAATAGTAAGGTTATTCTCATCAAAAAGTTGCAAAATTCAGAGTTAGGTTCAGAACAGAACATGCATGTGACATGACTCGATCCAGAGGATGCAAATGCATGAAGTTCCGTTTGAAAATGAATCCACTAGGGCATTTTTGTCATCAAGAATCTTCAAGATGGGTTATTCAGTTCAAGTATATTGAATTTGAAAAATGGAGGTGTCAATTACTTGCTTCTGAGGTCAATGATGAGTGCTATTGGTTGTTGAATAATTTTACCTCAGTCCTCAAGTCAAAACAGGACACAAATAGGGGAAAGTAAATTAACAATTACCCCCAAATAAATAACAAAAAGAAAGAATGAAAGAAATAAAATCTCTAACAATAGAGGATCAACTAAAATATTGTGGTACTGAAAAACATTTAAATATCACACAAAAGAACAGTGAAAAGGGATAGAGAAAATAAGTATATTGACTAAACTAAATACCACTCACTTCATCGCCAAAGTGCTCATAGCATAAGCTAATATTTTCAGAGAAATAAATTTTGAACAGCTAAACACTGCATATAGATCCCTATCTGAGGGCACAGTTATTAGATTGGAAAGACCATGGTTTGTAACAGAAGGTTGAATTCCTTCTGGTGGCTTATAGAAGAATTAATAACACTGAGCACCTACAGAAAATAATATCCACATTTCTATCCTAAACCTCAAACGTAGTTTAAAAAGCACAGAGCAAAGTTTGATAGGAATGCTATTAAGATGGAATTAGGGATATCATTAAGGTATTAAGGTATATTTTAGTAATTATTTAGGGAATTTGTTCGGAGCATTTACCTTAAATTAATTGGTAGTTGTTTTAGTTCTTCAATATACTCTTAACACTTCTTTAATGTTTAATCAATTAATCAATTACCCAAAAATATTTCATGTTCATGGTCAAGCAAAACTAGTTGTAGAAAATGTGAATGAATACTTACAGCATGGCTAAGAATTGTTACAACTTTGTCCCCAGCTTTTAAGCTTTTGACTCCTGGTCCAACCTCTATGACTTCTCCAGCCACATCAGTGCCTGCCTCAAAATTTTAAAAGAAATGAAGTAACCAAGAAAAGACATAAAAAAACATAACATAATTTGTTTCCTGAATAGTGATTGCAGGAATAAACAAAATGAGGACAACACAGATAGAACTTCCAATAATAAACAAACTTCCTTAGTGACTATCAATTGACAACGAAATAAGTAGTCCATATATATTATAAACCTTTGTTATGTCATTATCATGGCAAAAAAATATTTTGAGATGGATTGTTCTACCATCCCTTCATGGCCAACAAAGCCCTCTTTAGAATTGAAGATGGCAGGATTTTAACAGGCTTGAGAGAAGAAGGTAAATGGTGGAAAATTAGTGACTTTCATTGAAAAATTGAAAAGTGGCTTACTTTGAAGCATAATAGGGCAGAAGTGTTAGAGTATAGGGATAGATCAAATTCCAGAACCTACCCTTAAGATATTAAAATCGTCAATTGTTTTCAAGCCTTGGGCAACCAATTTGGGGGTTTTGTGAGATGCTCCTTCAAAAATCTGAACTTATTGGATTGCAATGAGAAAAGAATTCTTGCTAATTTCTTCCTACAAACTCTTCAGTCTTCATCCTCGTCAGAAATTATTACAACAACTTATGTCACGCCCGGACATGTTGGAACACGGCTGATGACCCAAACATAATTTTTCCTTGTGAAGAAAGATTCTTTAAGAAAAAATGATGCCCATGAAACTCAAAATCCAGAGGGAGACTGAAAACAGCAGGCCTAAACCCTAAAAATCACTCTAAAAGAATTGATTAAGGGAGAGAGAAGGGTACTCATCTTCTTAAATGAAAATCAACCTTCATTCATTAATAAGATTTACATCTCATTTGGTTTACACCATTGCCCCCACATCCAAACCACCCTTGAAAACGTTGAGTAAGAAACCTGAATAAAAATTTTTGATACCTTGAGAGGATAAAATTGAAACTTTTAGAACCTATTGGCTCACTTTATCCCTTACCATCCCATAACTTAATTTGTCTCACTTAATAAGTCATACTGCAGGCTTTCATAGCAAAAATAATTCAGGTCACACATTCATAACATGAACCATTATAGAATTGAAGTACCAGGAATATGAGGGAGCTTGCGAGGAACAAAGGGGCGTATCAGTCCTTTCTGAATCTTCCAATCAATTGGATTCAAACTAACTGCTTCCACTTTTATCAACACCTCGTCTTTTATGGGTGTAGGAATGGGAACTTCTACATGCTGCATGAAGATAAAGACACATCAAGAAAAAATCCGGTAGCATACCAAAATAAAAGAAATAGGCTCACTGCTGCCAAAGAACACAAAATGGATTCAACACCTTTCCAGCCAAATTCTTCAACTTAAAAAATGTTTTCGACTGATTTTAACCATTTTTAAGTTTTCATAATTTTAGATTCACAAACTTATTGAAAATAATATATATACATGACATGTTAAAACCAAATTGTCATCAAATACATATGTGACTCAGGACTCCAAAAGAATTACATACCCCACTACCGTTAAATACATTCAATCGTGTATAATTCCAAGTCGGAGACCGTAATATTTCAATTTTCAATTAAAATAATGATTTCAACTGCCTGGTTTGAAATTTCTCGTCGTAACTTGAACTTACTTACCAATAAACAATGCAAACAGTAAAGAATAACTAAAAAAGAGAAGAAATGGCATTTCTTCGTAGAAAGAGTGGGCCCAATAAGGCGAACCATCAAAGTACCAATTATCAAATTCCATTACTGAATTCCATGGGATAGACAGCGAAATCCAAAATTAGCTCATCCAAACAAATATTAAAACGGATTGAGGATCAACAAACGCGCAACAGATGATATGAGCAGGCACAAATCTAAAAGAATTAAAGTAACATAGGTTCTATAAAATCGAATGAGCGGGCAATGGAAGCGCGAAAGGAGGAGGGAATAAACCTTGAGAGCAGCCGATCCGCCGCCATAGGATTGATACAGAACCGCCTGCATAATCGTCGAACCCATCGCCACCCACAACCCTGGATTTTTGGTTCGTGAGTTTACGCCGCGTTACGAAGTGCTAAAGTAATTGGTTTCAGAAGCTTTTATTTTCAGCCATTTATCTCAGTTTGGTGCTGTGGCATGTGGCATCTAAAATAACTGCATTTTGCTTTTTGAAAAATCAGTTCTGACACACAAAAGTAAATTATTATTATTATTTTTTTAATACAAACTCACGGCCTTAGAAATATGTTCAACTAGAAAATAATTTTAAACCTGAGAAAAGAGGGTATAGTACAGAATATTAGTATTTAATTGTTGTGATTTAGTGGCTAGAATAGATATATTATTTCAGTTATTTTTATATCATATTTAAAGACCATTGACATATATGAGATTTTGAGTTCAATTCTCTATTCCCATCACGTTGTACTAAAAAAATATGTATTATAAGAGAATGATTTAAAATTTTATACGAATTAAATTATAATTTATATTTTCTTTACTTTTAATTTAATAAAAGACAGGGGCAACGTCTGCACCCTCTTTTACATTTCTCTCAAATTACTAACTTGAGCGTTGGAGTCCATTTGGTGGGGTACCACACCGATGTCAATGATCATTGTTGCAAACTCATTCGTCCGACAGCTCGTTTCAAATGACACGTGGACTTCTCCGAAACTCGCCATCCATAGATAAAAAAAAATGGTCAAATACTCCTTTACTTTCAATTTTTGTTCACATCCGCAACTTAATTTCAAATTCTCAATACTCTCTTTTACTCGGCTATTATCCACTATATTCTCTTTCTCAACTCAATTTCAATTTTCTACCATTACTTTGTCTTATATATAAATATTTCATATATTGTTAAATTATGTAACTAAAGATTATGAATAATATCATTTTAGATAACCACGCTTATAAATGATTAATAAAACATAATTAAACTACAATTAAACTTAATTTATTCCATCAAATAATTTACATCAATTTTTATGATCTTAGTACCAACATTTTTATAGATGTCAATATATTACTTATATGACTAGATATGATGGTTAAAAAGTGATCTATTATAATCTAATTAAGCTACGATTAAAAGTCTTATTTATTAACTCAAACAATTTTCATCCGTTTTCATAATATACATGATTTTTGTGTGAAAATTTCCATCTACATCAATATTTCCGTAAAATCGACCTCGACTTTTACATCAACGTCGAGATCGGCATTTTGAACATTGATTCAAAATTAAAAAACACAATTTGAATTTAAATTTAAAATCTATAGAGTTTAGACCAAATCAAAAGGAAGTGTGTAATTAAGCCAAAAACTTAATCATATTCCAAAAATCTAAATCTCACACACGGTACAAATTTATCATATTTTCAACTTTCACATTCTCAAGATATTTTCAAGTTTCTGTTCTCTTAAAAAAAAAAAAAGATATTTTCAAATTTCTTTCCGCAAAGGATATTTTCAAGTTTCACAATCTAATTGTGGAACCTACAAAATGCTTTAAATTTCTTAAATATTAGCCAAAAATAGAAATAAATTAAATTGCAGTTGAACCAAAAATAAATCACTTTTCGCAAATATCTCAATAATTTTATAAAAAGATGATGAAAAAAATTATAAAAATAAATATTTCATAAGCTAATAATTAATAATATCAAATATTAAATATATATTACTGTACTCTATTAATATTTCTTATATTTTGTAAAATTTTATGCAATATTATGAAAATGTTGATTCATCCATAATATCAAAGTCGAATCTATAGACATATAAAAACATGGACCAAAATTTAATACCAAAAACTGACATGTAACATTTGCTTTACGAGAAGAGACGTCATCATCTCAGATTCATAAGAAATTATATATACATATATCCATATACAGGGGTGAACTTTCCTGAAAGATGTCTGCCAACTCATCCTATATACAGAGAAAAGTGGTTTCAAATCATATCTACGAAATGGCTTTAGCATCTGATTAGTTCTCCTTAAGCTTATATATGGCATCCACATACTCCTCTGCATCCCAAAGGAAAGAACCAAAAGCAACAGCCTCCAAAACCAATCTCTTCAGGCTTGAAAATGAGGTCACTATCACCTCATCGCTCTCGAAAAAACCAGCTCCCTCATTTCCCAACAATGCACAGCTATGGTTCTCAATCAGATTCAAGGCTTCTTTGGACTTCAGCTTTGCACATCTCTGCAGCGCCTCGGAGTCGAACCCTGTCAAGAAGCGCTTTAGCTTCTCTGGCTCCGTCTCCTGACCGTTCAACATTTGGGTGTGCGGCACTGATCGCGTGTTGCTGAGACGACCCGAAAGGAGATTTCTGAATCCGTAGAGACACATCTCTGGAAACTGAAGGAAGGTTTTCTGACCACCATTACGGTGTGTGGTTGGTATGGCTAGTCTTTGCTCCAGGTGATGCCTTAATAAAGCAGACTTCATGAAGTAGCCATATAAGATGGAAGCGACGTAAACCCGGCCGAGATGTGCTTGTCTAATATTCGTCATAGCCCAGTTATCCGTGACGCTCGAATCTGCTCTCAAACCAATCACAGTGGTTATATGCTCTTTAATCATCTCCAGGACCTCCAAGTCATAAATGGACTCCAGTTCCCAGTCCTTGCATGGCCAAATTTCTAGTCTTCCATTGTAAACACATCTAGAGAGCTTGGGTACCAAAGTAACTCTGATTTCCGAAAATCTATAGAAAATGAGCATGTACATGACATCTTCAACTGCTATTTGGCACTCCTGTTCCTTTAATTGTGCAATCCTCCTGGAATTAAGATATGTCTTTAGCTAAAAATGGATATCACTTCACAAACGAGTAATTAAATACCATATGCTAAAGTAATGAATGTATCTCTTCTTCAACTGTGCTACTCTAGTGATCACCAGGGTTATAAGAAATAAAATTATTAATGGAGAATGCAGAGTTAATGGTTAAGCTGTGGTACTTTATACCCAGCAAACAAGTAGATACCCTCCATTTCTCATGTACTAGATTAATTTACAAGGAACATGAAACGTATATCTTGTGCATATGCAAAAATTGCACACCCAAATGTAAAACTACTAGTAGAAAGTTTAAATGGTATAAGAAACTTCAAGCCCTTGGGATTTTTTATTTTAATTAGTTGTGGGTTTAACTCATCACATAGACCTACTCCTTCCGTCAGGTGAATAGATAAACATACAGTGAAAAACTATCAACACATGGCTTGGAGTCTCAGATCTCAAAAGGTACCCTGACAAACCCAAAAATGGAGTTCTGTGATCAAACTCATTAATACATAACAATAGTGCTGCAAAGATTTGACTATACAAATCAGTAGACATGCTCAGCTACTATCTACATTCCATGGACAAACCCAAAACTGAACTTAACTAATATCAATAATAACAGTTTATATGTGAAGAAAGGATATAGAAGCCAGAAAAGTAAATGGATGATTTCTTCAACATTCATATGGAGAACATCTACATCCCCTCGAGCAGATTGCTTGGAAAACATTCATAGTAAGAAAAAAAGAAAGTTTGATGTTGAAGTGTCTAAGGTAACTGCAGTAGACCAGTTATTTGAATATACTTTGGCCAACAACGTACATATCCTTTGCATCATCTGAACCTTCTAAAACTAGACTACTATTGTTAACTCTCAGAGAAAGCAGGACAACTTTCTTGCACTGCGTATCTCCATCACACTCTGCTTCTCTTTCCAATAAAATGTTTCACATAATTTAAAATCACATAGACAAGCGCAGTGTACCAGAAATGTTAACCTGTTCGAAAAATCTATTCACGTCATGAAAGTTGTTCACAGTGCAAGGAATCTGACCAGGCCGTATAGACTAGACTAATTATAGAGAGAAAAAGTGAAATAAAGTTCCATGTAGACTACCACATGTGACCTACATCTCAAATTGAAAATACCCCGTGAACAGAGTGTTCAAACATATCGATTCTGATTTTAAAATTAAAGGCGTACAGTTAATCATATCAATTCAACAGCGAAACATCCTCAAACCAAACGAGGAAGATTTTCACAAGTTTGACCTGGATCATAATTGAACAAACCTGTGCAGCAAGGCTTCATCGGAAGCACCGGCGAGCGCCATTCGATCAACAGCCGCGTCACGCTCATCCCCCAAGCGCTTCAACTCATCCTCAACGGAAACATGGAACAACTGCCTGTAATTCTGCAGGACTCGACTCAGATGCTTCCCGACCGACGACCTCGGCTCCAACGGAGTATTGAGACTACCGAACTCGCAGTGACTGGCTCCGGCACCGGCAAGGACGACCAAGGGCCTGCGCCTGGGCCTGGGCTTCCCCGACGAACGATCACGATCACCGAAATCGGAAGAAAAACAGTGATGGGGGGTGGATTTGGGAGGAGAAGGCAGAGATTTGAGAGCGAAGGATTTATGGAGGGAGAGACAATGGTCCATCAACAGGAATGTAGAGAGGCTCTGCAGGGGAAGAAGAAGAAGAAGATAAAGAGTAAAAATGGGGAATGGATAGGGGTGAGAATGAGAGTTGAGAGTGAAGAGAAAAAGTTAGCGTACGGTACGGCGCATGGGGAGCAATGCCGGCCAGATTCCTCTGCCAGTTATATAGCCGGATTTGAAGTACTCCCTTTCCTTATCGGATTTTTCTTCTTCTTTTTCTTATTTTTTTCTAATTTTTTAAATGAGTAATAATTGCAATGGCCGCCGATGGTGGAAGATATTTTATTATTTATTTTTTGCTTTTTCGGTTTTGGGAGAAATAAATTAATGGAATTAATTAATAAGAGAAAACGTCTGCTGCGAGGACTTATCGCCTTATCATCATCATCTTCTTCTCATCTTATCGCCTCTAGCTTTGGGCCCTCGCTTGTGGTCTACGTTCCACCTGTCCACATCCTATTGGTTTGGTTTGGTAGTCCAAATTTAACAATCATCACAAATATCATTCAAATCGAGGAATAAAAATCAAAATTTACATAATTTTTAACTTCATAATAAAAATCAAGATATTTTATTCGGGTGTTAATTTCATTTCTCTCTTGCCCTTTCATCATTCTTTGTTATGTAGATTCCATTTATTAATAATAATTACTTTAAAGTTTTTATTTTTTGTTTCACGTATATCAATGACGTCTCTAACTTTTAAATTAATTGTTTTATTTTTTATTTCTAGTCCTAATAACTTTTACTATTAATTAATATCAGCTTTTATTTAATTTATTTTAAATTTACTTTATTATTTTGATTAATATCAATAATTTATTTTGTAGGTAGAATTCATTATTATTAAATATTAGAACAATAAAATTTAAAAATATTTTTATATTAAATGATGGTAGGTATAATAAAATTTTAATTAATATAATTTGTTTTAACCAATTATTATTGGTTAATATTAAGTAAATTGTTATAATTAAAAAATATTCTCTCAATAAAATAATAATTTTATTGTTATTTTAATAATTAAAAAAAAGATTAACACAAAATTGTGTGCATAATTAGTTAGAAATGACATCAAAATATTATCATAACTATTTGATTTATATTTCAATTCCAATTCCAAATAATTTTAGTTAACAGCATCAAATCATCTCTAATTTTGATTTCATAAATTTAGTAAATGTTGAGGGAGAAATCCGAGCCAGGCGTGACATGTTTTGGGGTGGATAAACGGGTATAGATGGCAGGGTGATCACTGCGCACCAAGAATGTCCTTGCCTGCTTGATTTAATCTCGTATTAAGTAATATGATTATGACAGTGAAGAAGAAGAACTTCTATTCATTTATGCATTTGAATTCTTGGCTCCTGACCCGACCAAAAGTTTGTAGTTCAAATTTTTATAACCTCTTTAAACTAGTCAATATCCAAAATTTTCAATCAAGTTTCTAACGTGTTAATTGGAATAGAATGGTGATTTGATAGCAATGCCCTATACCAACTATGGTATAGTTGATTCGAATTACTAACCTTTGGGTCAAGTTAGGTCTATATCTTAAAGGTAATTATGTAAAATGATGAATTCCAACTGCTATAAAAAAAGCTTGTGACAACTTTTTTTACTTGGCACATTAAGAACACTTGCCTTGGTGTACTAATCCTAGCTAAATTTTCTTAAGTATTCTCTTGTTTGAGTCGAGCAAGGGTGTAAGTGATAATAAAGTTAAGTGGGAGAGATTTTTTTGCAACAATCCAAACAAGTTTTCAAACTTTTGAGAGGCACGAGTGATTCTCTCCCCGCATAGAACTTTAGCGACTTACTTAGTTCAACAAATGTAGGATCAATGATCGAACTTTCAACTTTAATACGCTACATACATTAGGACCTTAGAGATTAATTTGTAGAAGCCTCTATTTTCTTACCATGCCAAGGCTACTTTTTTCAAATAACTATTCACATACCAAATATGACATAATTTTCTCGTAAATTTATCAATATCACTATAGAAATTGACAAAAGTATCATAATCTATAACTGATAGATGTCTATCAATAATACATACCCGTCCTACAAAATTGCCATATTTGCAAAATCTCATTTATTATGCTGTTATATCTACAATATGTCAAATTTATTTGCCACCTATTATAATTTTAATTATTTTTTATTCATAAAATTAATAGAACAAAATACTATTTCAAAATAGATGCACAATGCGATGGAATTTTCTCTTTACTATTTCTTTGTCCTATTTTGTTTATTATGGTTTTTTGACATATTGTCTTGGGTTAGTTCATTTCTTATAATAATTTGAAACAGGTACTGATGTGGCTGGGGAAGTGTTAGAGGTTGGAACAGGGGTGAAAAGATTTAAAAGTTGGGGATAAAGCTGTAACTATTCTTAACCAATGTGTAAGTATTTTTTCACCTTCTAATTTTACTGCCTTAACCCAATAGTAAAGAAAATCGATCATAAGTGACTTTTTCGGATATCTACTAAGTACATTTGGAAGAGTTAGTATAGTAACTCTTTCTTATAGAAATATGCATTAAAAACTTAAGGTAACACGAAAATAAACAATCCGAATCCAATGTAGCGTTGTTTTCTTAAGACAATTTTGTTCCCTCTGTTTAAGGTTTCACGAACAATTGTCTCCCACGATAGAACGGATGTACCAATCTGTGAACGCATCATTTCACACATAGGACTCAACGAACTCACAGTATTTAAGTTCTCGTACAGAGGAAAAGAGAGAATTTTGAGGGATAGTTTTTCTACGTTTCAAAACTGAAAAGAACCACGTATTTATAGATTATTATTTGTGACCATTCAAATAGTCATATATTTTCATGTAAAGTTATGATTCTTCAATTTTAACAAAAATAATTTTATTCATAGCACAGTAGAGAGTTTGTTGATAGAATATTAGATGGATGTTATGGTTCAGAGTTTGGCTTGTCAACTAGGGCCTAAGGCTGCACAATGATTTTTCCAGTGGCATGACCCTCAATACTTTTAGCCCATGCAGTTTGGGCCTTACTCAATGGATGCATGGAGTCAATCACAGTCTTCAGTTTTCCTTCTTTCATTAACTTAACCAAATCTTCCAAATCCTCTCCTTCAGGATTTAGTAACAAAGGCACCAATTTCTTCTTGGAGAAACTCAGCTTCTGCATAGCACAACTCAATAAGGTCCCAAAGCTAGGAGTAATGTCTATCACTTTTCCTGTGGGACTCAAATTAGGCTCGAACCTCGACCACGGAATTCCCGTTGCACAGTGTACTACAATGTCGTACTTACGCTGCGACGGGCTGTTTAGAGCAGCCCCGTCGGGGGTCGCGTAGTCGAGAACCTCATCGGCTCCTAAGCTTCGGACGAGCTTCATGTTACGTGCCCCGCAAGTTGCTGTTACATGTGCATTTTGGAGCTTGGCCAGTTGAACGGCGTAATGCCCGACCCCGCCCGAGGCTGCGGTGATCAGAATGTTTGGTTGCCTTCCGGTGAATCCATCGAGGTGTGTGAGCGCTTGGCGAGCGGTTAGACCGGCGACCGGTAAGCCTGCAGCTTCAGGCGCTGAGATTTCAGGTGGTTTGTGGGCTGCTATGCTCTCTTTTACTGCTGAAAATTCAGCCAACCCACCTCCATTCTGTAATTGATCAAAGTATATAGGTTAGAATTTGGTGGGAGTAAGCAAATTCAAGTATAATTGATTTTTTTAAAATCACGTGATATTTTAAAAATCAATTTAAAATGATTTAATTTTTTTTTAATTTGTCAAACATGATCAATAAAAAGAAAGGAGAGTAATTTTCAAAAATGATTTTAGCGGTACTAAAATAACTCTTAAATGCACTTTTAAACTATCCTACATTAAAAAAAAAAATTTCTCTCAACTTTCGTATTTGTTTTATTTTCATTTTAAATTTTCAAATATTTTGTTTCAATAGTTTATCAACGCACATAAAAATTTAGAGATAATATAATTCTCAATTTGATAATATAAGTCTCAGTTTGGTGATTAATATTTTGATATATTGAATTGAACCTTTAATGAATAAGAAATTCTCAATTAGGCCATTAGTAAAAAATAATTAAAATTTGTTAACAAAAAAATTGACGTGTAGATGTGGATTACATATACATGACATTGGGATGCTTCTTCATAAAGTACTTTTCAATCACTTCCAAATGTGATGGGTTTAGGTGAAAAGTATTTAAAAAATGCATTTAAGTGACTTTTAGAATTTAATCTAAAATCAGTTTTGACTATATAAACCAAAACCAAAAAAAAAAAAATGATTAGAACTCACAAGAGGGTTAAGCAAAGCCAAAACTTTATCACCAGTTGTGAATTTTTTTACTTCCGATCCCACTGCTACTACCTCTCCAGCCACATCAGTGCCTAAAGTTCCAAAAAAATAAATAATTAAACAAAGTATTTTATCAACAATTATTACTCGTTTGGATCTAATAGCTTTTTTTTAACTTTTAAAAGCATCTAATAAATAACTATAACAACCAAAAAAGTTATTTAAAAAAAAAGTCCGTTTTAGGTATAGTCCTCACGACTTTACTTTTTAGTTCCACCCAAAAGGTCTCGAATGAGATAATTGTCTTCTTTTATATATCCATAATCATTCATTTCCCTAGTCAGGGCCGATAAGGCTGCTAATCCTGGTAAGAACCTTCTCAAGTAGGAAGCTTTTCCTAAAAATGACTTAAACTCTTTCGCTGAGATTGGCTCTGGCATATCGAGCACTGTTTTTGTTTTAGCTGGGTCTACATTCGTGCCTTGTCGATTCACCAAATAACCAAGAAATTTYCCTGATGTTACTTCGAAGGCGCACGATACTATTATCTAGGGGTTCATCTTCAACTGAGATTTTCTTGATCTTTCAAGAACCCTTTGTAGRGCTTCCGGATGTCCTTCTCCTGTCGAGACTTTGTTTGTAATTACCCTACAAACCCAACACTTTTTCATATTCCAAAAAGTTACTTAGAACTAAAAGAGCTTTATCGGAAAAACAACTTACATTTAAGACTTATCTCGAAAATTACAAATCAATCGTCAACTTTTAACGTTATTTTAACCGAAGACAACAAATTGTTTAGAAACGCTTTTAGTCTGCCATCAACACTAAAATTCATTAAATCTTAAATTTAAAAACAATTTAAAAAAGTGACTACAAAGTATATTATATATTAAAAAAGAAAACAAGATTTAGGAAATAGGTTTATAGGTTTACCAGGAATATAAGGGAATTTTCGAGGAAGAAGTGGCCTTAACATCCCTTTCTGAACTTTCCAATCGAATGGATTAATACTGCCTGCCTCTAATTTTACTACAACTTCGTCCTTCTCTGGACTTGGAATGGGAACTCGACCATGCTGCCATAACACAAATACATGCTGAATTATTATATACTAAAGTTTACAGATTAAATTGTTACTATTTTAATATTACATAGACTTAATTGTTACAAACTAAAAATTCAAATACTAAGTCGTTACTTTAACGAAAGTACAAGACTAAAACTACTAATGGGTTAGGTTGACCATCAATTTTTAACCCATTCCCACGTATTGCCAACCCAAAAATTTCGGATTGGTCTCAAAAATACCCCTAACCTTCACAACAATAATGATATTGTCTGTTTTGGACAAGTCTTACGGCATCCAAAATGTCGTACCAATTGAAGACATTTGTCATTCTTATATATCATGAATCACTTCATTCCCTAACCAATATGGACTTTGTTTGTCTACCTTGTAATCTCAATATTACTAGAGGTTCGAATCCCCACCCCAAATATTTCTGTCGATTTACGCACAGCTCAAAAGAAATACTATCGAGTTCGAATCCGCACCTCCAAATATTGTTGAAATCAAAAAAGAAAAAAATCGAAAAATTATACAATTAACAAAGAGCAATGTCTAACTATGCCACTTAGAGAATGGGTTGAATCAACTCTTTACAAATAATATAATCAATCTATTTCCTAAACGAAAGTAGTAATGAATTGATAACATGATCATAAAAGTTCAAAACCGTTGATTTCATTATATATTTGGAGGTTGAGAGGAAGAAGAAAGGGAATGTGAAATTACCTTTAAAGCAGCAGGTCCTCCGCCATAAGAATCGTATAGAACTGCTTGCATAAAATTCTCAGCCATCGCCAATGGCCACACCACAAAATTATGGAGTAAGAGTGGGAGTAATGAAATACACTACAATTTGTGGTTGTGTTCGCATTGCCACATCTTCACACACGTGGAGAATTCTCCACCTCACCCTCACTCTCACCAATTTTTTTAATTTGGGTATCTTTTTTAAATTTTAATATTTGTAATTGTTAGAACCGTCTGGTTTTTTTCAAAAATTAAAAGTTATTAGAGTAGGTGACTGATTGATTATTAACGATCATATATGTTTTTTCTTTTCGTTGAGTACAACAAATTAATATTTGAGCTATTCTTGTTTTGACAAAAAAAAAAACATGCATACACAACATTAGCATTATGCTATGAAAAAAAACTATAAATTATTTTCTCTAGTTTTGGGCTATTCTCAATTGCTTAAAAAACTCGAGACCAAAACTAGAGAGCTAGGAGGTTCTTGAATTTGGTAGCGGAAAATGATGATCCTTTATGACCCTGAAAAAAGACGTACATGATTTAGAATCACTGCATAAAGGGTCGGTTAACTTGATGCGATAGAGCTATGAGTGCAGTTTGATATATCTTATAATCATTTTTAATGAGTAACATTAAAAATGAGTAACGTTCAGTCAATTAATATCTAGATTTTTTTAGTACAACATGTGGGGGTGGGGGATCAAACTCACACAACCTGTTGGTTAGAAATATATGACAATTACCGTTCAGTTAAGCTCATTTTGATATTAAAAAAATAGGGATATGAACAAATTATTCCATATATACCTAAAAATTTATTGAAATGCTTTTAGGGGCAAATTAATAAAATCCATATCATGTTTGTGATCATCTTAACCCGTTTCTTCTTTTGTAAACCCTGAATAGAAAATAATATTGGCTAGTAAGGAAAGATATGTCAAATAGCCAAATTTAAAAATATTTACATGTCAAATAAATGTTTTTCTAAGAAAAATAAATGAGCATATATGTTGGATCATGTGCTATATATATATGAGACAGACTTACAAGAAGCCATTTATAAGCCTCCAAAAGAGTTACATTCTCTTATTGATTATTATAATATGCATTCTATGGGTGCAACCTATCACCCAAAAAAGCATATGACAATGGTTCTCTTAGTTTTCTGGGTGGTTCTAGTGGTGGTTCGACCCGGTGTGGTAGCGTTGCATCTTCCAATGCCACTCGATAAATGGAATATTCACGTGGTTAATGGATTGAGTAATAACGCCACCTTGTTCGTGCATTGTAAGTCCAAGGATGATGATCTAGGTTACCATCACCTAATTGGTCGTGGTGATGAGCTTCAGTGGACTTTTAGAATCAACTTCTGGAAAACAACGTTGTACTGGTGTTTCATGCACAAACCCAATGCTGATGTGTCGTTTGACTCATTCTGGGTTGAGAAGACCCATATATGGCTCACGTATAGGTGCAAAGATGGGATCTGCATTTGGACTGCTAAAGATGATGGAATTTACTTAAGAAACATTCCTAATAATGATGATGAGCTTGTTCATAAATGGAACACGAAGCTGTAGTTGATTGACTAAAGTTCATCTCGAAATTTTACTATTCAATAATTGTCTATTTGATGAGTGATGAATAGACAATAATACATGAATACACATGTTTTGTTTTGTTTTTTTCATATTGGTATGGTCTTTTATAAGCAATTGAAATTCCTCGTCTTTTTTATACACATTCTTACCTATAAAGTTCCTTTACGTTATTTTTATTTTAATAGATGATTTGAGGTTCGTCAAATTCTATAAATTTGTACTGAAAAAAAATTCTATATAAAAAATGAGAAATATAAATTTATTTATTTGTAATTTTAAGAATATTTTAAAGATATCATAAATGAGAAATATGAGACTTTACCAAAGTAGTTCCTACTCAAATGCTCGATAATTCGAATCTCCTTCCCAACATATTATATTAAAAAAAAACCTAGAAATAGAAAACAATAAATGATAACTTTATGACTCATTTATCAACTCTTTTCCCTTCTCATTTTCACTTTTTGAAAATTAAATAGTTGTTTTTAGTATAATAATAAGAGGTGTGTACTAAAAAAAAAATGTAGATTTGAACTTACGATCTTTCTGAACTTTTGTTAGAATTCATATAAATGAATTAAATTTACCCAACCTATCAGCTTAAGCTTTTAGGTTGAGTGGTGGTTTATTCATCGTTAAGATGGTATCAGAGCGGGAGGTCCTTAAATGAAATCGCTTAAAGTGATTTATATTAATTAATGGTAAAATCGACCATTTTGGAAGATCAATGGCTAAATTAAGAATTATCTAAATGAGTAGATAGTATCGGTATACTTAGTAAAATTTTTAAGACAATAGGGGAAAAGTCAATCTAAACTCTAAAGTACATTGATCATGGACAAAACAAAATTGATACCGAACATATTATAATTTTTTTTTTGAGTACTGTGGAGGTGGGGATCGATGGTTGGAGATATATACCAACTACAAACTGTACTCAACTTTGGGAACACACGTTAATAATTAGGGCCAAAAAGTAAAACTAATTAATAATACAAAATGCTCATAACATATATATTTCATTCTTCTGTGCATAAATTAAACTCAAATCGACACCACTAGAAGAAATTTGGACTTCAACGATCAAATATTTTTGTTGCTGAAGTTACAATTTCGTTGCTTTAAGAAACGTGTCTGAGAAGCAACAAATAACGACTCTACTACACCGATCGACAACATCAAAGTAACGTTTGTGCAATACAATAAACACAATACAAATTCCATATATAGCTAAAAATTTATTGAAATGATTTAATTGACGAACAAATTAAACCAAATACATATCATATATGTCATCATCTTATCCTGTTTCCTCTCTTGCAAAGCCCTGCAGAGGAACAAATATTTGCTAATAAGGAAAGTACATTATAATTTATTTTATTTTTGTAATATGTCAAATAAATTCATTACAAAATGTTTATATGTCAAATAACATTTTTCTAAGAACTTAAATGAGTTAGCATATATGTTGAATTATTTTCATAACTTACAAGAAGTCATTTATAAAGAGTTGTATTCTCTTGCTCATTATATCCATTGTAGATCAAAAAACTAAGTTAGGTGAAAGCAAATATGAGTGCAAGCTATCAGAAAAAGAGGCATATGACCAGGGTTCTCTTAATTTTCTTGGTGGCTCTAGTGCTGGTTCGACCCGGTGCGGTGGCGACCCCTCTTCTGTTGCCATTCGAAAGATGGCATATCCATGTGCTTAATGGGTTGAGCAACGCCACCTTGTTTGTGCATTGTAAGTCGAAGGACGATGATTTGGGTGACCATAACCTACTTGGACGTGGTGATGAGTTTCAATGGACTTTTAAGACTAACTTTTGGATGACAACATTGTATTGGTGTTTTATGCACAAGCCGAATGCTGATGTGTCATTTGATTCATTCTGGATTGAGAAGAGGCATATGTGGCTCAATTATAGATGCACGGATAAAAATTGCATTTGGATTGCTAAAGATGACGGAATTTACCTGAGAAACAATCCCGATAATTATGATGAGTTTGTTAAACCCTGGGTCGAGTAGTTGATTAACTAAAGTTGGCTTGGATTTGTACTCTTCAATAATTGTCTATTTGATGAGCGATTAATAGACCATGTATGCATGCACTGAATTTTTTTTCCCAAGAAAATCATCAACTTTATTTGTAGTTTAGATTTCTCTGTTAAGTAACTTCTATATTATGTGTACGTATGTGATCTCCTATATTTATAAAAGTACTTTTATATTGGTAAGGTTTTGCTACACAAGATTCAAATTTCTCTAGTATTTCTTATATTTTTGTTAAATATAAAGCTTCTACGTTTTTTACGTTATTATTTTTTTAATAAATGATCTGAGATATGTCAGTTTCGACAAATTTTTAGAACACTAAAATGGAAAAGAACGAAGAGGATTAATATGGAATAACCGTGTAAAAGGGTTCTCAATTTTCTCTCTGAGAAATTGTAGAAAGTGGCAGTCGTGGATGTCGTCTAGGGGTAATGGAGGTCCTACTGGTTGGAGATCTTAGAGATCCATTGTGATATGTCAAAGGTCAAGTTAAGAATGATTGAAGAATTGTCGAGCAAATCAGTGGAACGTTTGAATCTCACTGATATGGACTAATCTATGCGCAAGCATGTATAGTCATAACAAAATGTAATATAGGAAATATTTCTAGTATCGTATACTCAAAGACTCTATAAAGAACAATTGAGTTGATTTTCAAAACAATGCTTCAGAAAGAAGTGAAGGCGGGAAGAAATATCCTTTTATGTAGTGAAAATAAATGAAAAATAACATAATTAAAACAAAAGATGACGATGCTATCACAAATTGAGGAGTGCAAAGTTCAACTAAGATGGATCTCCAATTCCCGTACTTGTATGCTGTGACAAGTGTCGTAGCATGCTAACAAATATATTAATCTGATGTAAATCTAAACAACTAACTCCATTTATTGTCTCTCTCAAAGTTTCATGCAGTGGTTCTTAAACAATGTTATATCTCGGTCTTCTTTGAGCAAGGAAACAACTAAATATTAGTGGATCATATGTTTAATTCTCTTTCGTGAGCTTTAAATGGTACAATCTGAACCAAACTCTTAGATTTGGACACGATTTGTGTCATAGGTTTAATAAGCTTCTTTGTCCATTTGGATCACTGCTAAGACTTATTTAAATTTGGTCCTAACTCATTTATTAGTCCATGACTCTTAAACTAATTTTAGCTTGTGGGGAAAAATTAACATTTAATGAATTTTGAGCTTATTTCATATGGGGTTCAGTTATCATATGACCAGGACGTGTAAAAATTTTATGGTTAGCCAAAATTTGTCACTGATTTTAAATATTAAATATATTATTTTATATAAAATCATATTTATAATACTCATGCCTTCATATTTTTGTATTTATTTACTAATTTTTTTTAATTAAAAATTTGTAGTTGATGACTATTTTTATATTGTATGCCACAGAATTACATTCGCAAGAATCATTTTGTTGTTTAAAATTTCACAATATTTATCATATTGATTAAATAATTGACATGATGAACCAATAATTCAAATAGTTAAAAATTAAAATAATAATTTATATTAATTTGATGATAATATAATTCCAAGGATCTTTGAATATGATTTAGTCTACTTCAACATCCTTAACATCCTTAACGAATTTTATTACGTCATGATTTAATCTTTATAGTTTTAAAATTATAATAATTTAATCTATACTATAAAAAATCTCATCCAGTTGATTCTTATTGAAAGAAACACTAACAAAAATTTTCGTGATCGAAACTAAATTATTAAAAACTTTAAAATATAGTCTACGTATTAAACTTCAGTCAAGTTAACATTTTAAATGACGGAACGAAATATAATTTTTTAACCAAAATAAAAATTGGCAGAGGTTCCCCACCGCCCACCGCACATATTATAGCGAGGGGAAAAAAAACCAGAATAAAAATTGGCTACTGCTAGTATTTTTTGACGGTTAAGGACGCGCGTCAAAAGCAAAAGCCTTAGCGCACAAGAAAACTTACCTCCATTTCTGTATCCTTGCAGAACCTAAGCCGTGGAGTAGCCATGGGTGGCGATACGGTTCCTCTTTCTACTCCCTCCATCCCTCACGGTACACTCTGCTCACTGTTTCACTTTAATGTTCTTCTGATCCAAGAAATTGGGGACTAATTTCTGTCTTTTTACCAAGTTTTTGTCGCTTCTTTAATTTTGGCTACAACTTTATTTGATTATCCAACTGCAGATTCCGATTCTTCTCAAATTTCCACTCAACTGCCCATTCTCCTCAGGTATTCCAGTATTTTCTTAATCCTAAGCTTCCTTTATGATAACTTTATGGTGTCGCTTATTGTGGGTATTTTTGTTGATGAGGCAGGGGTTATAATAAGGATGATCAAGAGGATGTGGAAAATGGATGGATCATTGGAGAATTTGATGAGATTGAGTCACAGTTCTCTTCTGCTGATTTGGATGTGGAAATCTGTCGAAGGAGGATGAATAACGTACGCAGAGAGATCTTTGAGAGCTATGATAAATTGCGGATTCGTAGTGAGGACTTGAACCAGGCTAAGAGAAAAATTTTGAGGTATCTCTATTACTTTTCACCTCAAATATTTCAAGTTCGAGTTCAATTTAGTGAAACGTGCTAATTCATAGATTTCAGGAGGGGAAAAATAATAACAAGAATAATAAGAAAATAAATAAATAACAGGTTTGTACTCTTTCCACTATTGTTTGTGAAGCACAAAGCTGAAATGTTTGAAATTTCCACAATTGTCTTTGGAATTAAAACTTTGAAATGTTTGACATGTTGCTATTTCGCGTGGCCTAACATCTCATGAAGGAGAAACGGATTTATTATGGCTGAGAAATTGTTGCGTAAGCTTATTGTCTGAGTTGTAGATGAATTAAATTAAATCTTATGAGTACTATAGTTCTTACAATTTTCAAGACTGCTGCTACATTTGCTCATTTGGATATGCTAGCTTTTATTTGGCAGATATTCTCCTGGAGCATGGATTGAGCAGGTAGGTGGAATGAAATTATCTGACTACGATATCCCACGAACAACGTCACTTCTACTGGTTGGTCCAAAAGGATCTGGTAAAAGTAGTCTTATTAATAGGATCTCCAAGGTGTTTGAGGAGGACCATTTTACTCTAGACAGAGCACAAGTATCATGTATTTCTTTAAATTCGTTTTAGGTCGTTCTTTAATGAAAATATAACTCACCTATTTGAACTTAAGATTTGTAATTTCTTTTGGGTGCAGATAATTCATCTGGTGAAGATGGAACATTTTTCCTTCAGGAATATATGATTCCCAGGCACTCAAAGTCTTTCTGTTTATATGACACCCGTGGTCTCTCTGATGACTCGTCAGATAACATTGAAATGTTGAAGCAGTGGATGACCAAGGGCGTTCGTCATGGGGAACTTGTCACCAGGTTGAAGTTTTAACTTTGAGATCCTTTTCCTTTTCCATGAGTAGATTCTAATTAGATTTCTGCAAATTACTTCCCAGGAAATCTGATGCTTCAAGTTTAATAAATAGAATGAGATGTAAAAGTAAAACTGGCCGGAGCTTCTCTCTTTCTAGGGGGATCAGAATGATTAATTTTGTCATATTCGTTGTTGATGGGGCTTCGGTTTGTAAATCAATGGATGGTGATGATGACATAGAGAAAGATTATGCCCAAGCGATTACTACTGCATTCAACTCTCCTTATTTATCATATGGAGGTGAAATTTATCTCGCTGATCATAAGTTATAATTACAACGTAGATGTTCGTAATTGGTGATTTTTACTTACAATTCACGTTGCTAAGAAAACAGGGTAATTGTTTTACTTGTAGCCTTTTGTTGTCATGTTCTAGTCTGATGGTTCCTTTTCCTGAATATTTGGAATTTGGACAATTTAGTAATGTTGAAGTATTGATTTTTATCAACCTGATGAGTCTAACTCGAAATCAAGAATTTTCAGGGAATTCTATTGTTTTTTCATGTTGCCTGAAAGTGGTCATTGGTCAATGTCATCACAAGAAAACTTTCTAGGTGTATAATTACGATGACTGCTGAATGTCGGTCAACCTTTAGTGCATAGATCATGTCTATTACTCCAGTACACCCTTTTATGTTGTTTAGTTTTCACTACACTGAAATCAGTATTAGGTTCTTCTCTTTGGATAACTTCCATACTAATTCTCTCTTTTTCTCACAGATGACAAACCTGTTGTCGTAATAACTCATGGAGATCTACTTTCCTTTTGGGACCGTGTTCGTGTACGTATCCATTTAGGAAACTTGTTAGGTATTCCACCAACAAAACAAATATTTGACATCCCAGGTAACATATGGTGTGATCTGTATTACCTTATGAAATTTGATTCATATTTTTATTCATAAGTTGTACATTATGAAGAGTAATCCTCTGTCTTATCCCTCTTCAACCTTCTTTTGGCATAAATGAAATCCTCTATCATTTTTTTTATCAGTAATTATAATGAATTAACAATGATCCATTGTGCTTGCAGAAAGTTATGATCCAGTTACCGAGTTGTCGATAATTGATATGTTACATTACTGTCTGGAGCATTCTGATAAATACCTTCCTCTCAAGGGCTGGACGGTGCTCAAGGTTTCTTTCTTTACAAGATTTACATATGTGCTTTTAATTTTTTTTTTTTTTAATTTAAATTTTATCAAATTGGTTTTATTGAAAATGGAAAGTATTAAAAATATGCAGTGAAGTTTCTTTTGACTTCATCTTATCTGGTTAGCATCTGTGTAATATGTTAGGAATACCATTAGGTAAAAATTAGGAATATTATTACGATAGTAGGAGCATATTAGTAATTATTGAAGGAATTGGTTTTAAATAGAGAAACCGTGATGGAGTAGGCAATATTATAGCAGTTTAGTCTTGAGTATTCTTGAGAGGGGAGAGTCTAAGAACCTCGAAACAGTTAGTTCCATCTTGTACGTTGTATTTTGCTATTAATTTTTCAATATAATTCAAAGTGATCTTATCATCTGGTTCAAGGCATCAGCAATCAAAATTTATTGCTAACTATGCAGGATCATGTGTCCTTCATATCAGCAAGAATCTACTTTATAACCGTCATGGTGATCGTTATTATCGCAGCCTATCTCTACCTAGCGTATGTTCATCGTCTTCCCGAGCAAGTGGAGGCCGCTCGAGACGATTCAAAAAGGTTGGAGATAATTTGGTCTGAGATTCGTCACATGTGGTTAGATGAGTAAAGAGGGAACGGGGTCTCAGACTTTAGAATCTTTGTTTGTGTACAGTTTCAGTCTCAAGAAATAACCTTGGCAATACCTAACGGTAATAGTTGTGTATATTATGGAATAATGCTGAAATACACTAACAGCTTTAAGTGGACATTCTGTAACTATGTTTCAGAAGGTTAATATTGTGATGATTTTGTATTTTTGTGGATGCTATTGGACAATTCACCATCTCCTCATGCATGATGTAAAACAAAAAAGGGTTAAATTATAAATTTAATCTCTGAATTTAAAATTCTAGCTCTAAAAAGTTTCAGTTACATTGTTTTAATTTTAGTAAGTTATTGTCATATATTGTTACTCAAATGTTGATATGAATCACTGATTAAATGGTATATTTGATTCTTATTCCAGTTCCAGATAATTGTAGTAAACATGAAAAGGTTCGGAAATAATATTATCAATCTTACTTATTTCGAAATAGACATGAATTTCAAAACCCTTGAACTAAAATTTACCATTTAGCCGAAAAGAAAGGTTAGAAGTTTGTAACAACGTAAGAATTTTGAAAGGGTGTTATTTACTAAAAGCACTTTTCACCATGTCAAAAGTTATTAGCTCCAAGAAAATAATAATAATAAAAAAAATAAGATACTGCGAAGCAAGATTTTTTACCCAAACAATAAGGAGAGAGTAGTGGTAAAAATAAATCTTGGATTGCAATACAAATATAGGTTTCATTGATATACATATCCTAGTAAAGAAATAGCATCAAAATTGGCCATTGAAACCGTGGAAAGCTACAACTCCTGGGCTCCTCTGTACTATATAATCAACAAAATAAACTAAACGGTATCCCTTTTGGATTCCTTTGGCGTAAAACAACTAAATATGGTATTAATGGGATTATGATCCACAAAACACATCTTCAAATCAAATGTGTGATGCTACTTCCAAGTTGACAAAAGCTTCTAAATCTCGTTCTAAGGCTTCGGCACAACCCAAGAGTTCATTACGAAAAGTTTTCGGGAGGAAACAGAAGATATTGACGCAACATCATCGAGTAAAGACCTCCCGAACATCAAAAAACGATAAGAATCATAAACTTAATCTTACAGTTCTCCAATGGTAGTTTTTGGAATGGTCTGCAAGAACATGGCTCTTGCACCTGCATCAGATGAAAACCGACCAAGGGCAGCAATTGTGGCTGTCGTGCAACCAAACTTCTCGATTCCTCTTGACATCATACAGGTATGACTAGCCTCCACAACGACTATGATGTCTGCACCTAAGAACGACGACACCGTCTCTGCTATCTGCCTGGTCATTCTCTCCTGAACTTGAAGCTTAAGACCATAAAAATGTATTACTGGGTTTAGAAGTGATTTCTCAAGGGGAGTGAGTCCATCAACTCTGATAAATCCTATATGCACGACACCGTAAAAGGGCAGTAGATGATGCTCGCATTGAGACCAGAACAAGAAATTCAGCTCCGATTGAATCTGTTTCTCAGAGAGGTTGTTACCATTGTCGTTGGGTTCACAATGAATTCTACCATTAGCAAAGCCATTGAGTTTCTTCATATCCACCTTCATATCCACATTACAGTTGTGGAAGCTCATTAGCCAGTTCACAAAGTGACCAGGTGTTCCAAGAAGCTCTTTCCTTGATGGGTCTTCACCTAATGACCTCAAAATTGATGTCACTGCAGCGATCATTCTTGGATTCACCGATTCGATTCTGGTTGAGAATTTAGAAGAGGAAAAATGAGATGGGCACCAAACTTGAGCATCTAAATTTGGCGCACCAGCAGCTTTGCTCAGATCTGTGCCTCTAAATTTCAAAAGACTGAAGAAGTCCATCCATACATCAGCATCTTGGTTTTCAAAAGCTCCGGAACCGGATTGAACCTGCACTTTGACCCATCCAGGGTATTTCGAGTCGAGAAAGACGGACTCCATGCTGGGGAAATGAACGTGCGAACAATGAAGAGTGACAGCAACACCTCCTGGTTTGATACCATGGTGCAGAGCTGAACAAATTTGATCAGCCAGACGCTGAGGTTTTTGGAGTCGCTTTGCAAACACGTCTGCTACTCGAGAGAGCTTGCTCAGCCCAACAACTCGCTGACCAGATGGAACATAGCCCACATGACATTTCACTTGAAATGGAAGCAAACATGATTCACAATATGAGAAGAAGTCGAGATCTCGAACAACCACAATCCCACCTGCACCTCCTGCCTGATCAACCCCATTGTGCAATCCAGCTTCAGGAAATAAAGCACTTTGAATAATGTCCTTCGCTGTTTGTCCGTAGCCTGAAATAAAATGGAAAAACAAGTCTCCATCAGCCTTTCACCGTTATACATATCGCACGGAGGTATACGCATGATGAAGTTCATTCTACATCATAACAAATCTTTTTCATGAAAATGGTACAATCCACCTTTATTTATGCAACAATGTCCAAACAAGGGAATTCGAGAGTCCCCCACTCTCCCAAGAACGCTCAACAAGAGCCTCAACACTAAAAAGATGAAAAACAAATCCCCTCCCCTACAGGGTAAATAGCCACTAACTAACTACATTCCTTGGGCCCACACAAAACAACCGTGCACCCTCCTACTCCGTATGTGTCCGTTGCCCCATGACTTCCTACATACAAAGACATGCACTTGAGTAATTGAGGGTCTATCAGAAAATTCCTTAGCTTTTTTAATTACATATTTATCCAGGTAACTTCTTCATCTTATCTTCTCTCCTTTTGTTTTAGTCCTTTTTTTCCCTTCTTTTAATTATTACTTCTAGTTTAATTTTAATTTTTATGTTTATGTTTATTTTTTTTCGATAAGTAGAAGTCGGAGCTTCGCTCCCCTATACCCAAGGGCACCTACGCCCACCCCAAAGCCCGGACTCGAGAGACATCAAGGGTTTGGTTATTGAGCTCACCGGAAGGTTCGAGCTTGAGATCTCTAAGTCAGTATGATCAAAAGACCTCAAGCTCTTGCCAAATGGAACTACACTCAGGGCATTATTATTTTATTACCTTTTTTTTAGTTGTTGACAACAATAATCCAAGTTTACAAGTCCTCCAGAAGAAAAAGCCAATTTATGAAACCGTCCAGGTGTTATGTCATGTTGCGCATCACATGGACAAATTCGATGTAGCAAAATAGAGACAAAATAAGAACACAATACTCTGAATTCTCAAAACCCAATATTCATAATCTCAAAACATTATGAAATAAACAATGCATCATGAAGAACCCTGAAGTTCTTAATGTAGTCAATATCATCATTGAAATTATGAAATTTCAAGTTTGTAGCAGTAATCAGTTAAAAATTTTATATATTTTTTTCTTTA